CTCGGCCGGGCGGCACTGACCGGGCGGGTAGGCCTTGGGCGGCGGCCGCGGGCGGCGCGCGCGCTGCGCCGGCTGGCCGCGCGGCGGCGGGTACGAGGCGCCGCTGCCGCCCATCACCACGCGCAGCTGCTGGTCGATCTCCAGCTTCTCGGCGCGCAGCTGCTCCACCTCCTTGAGGTGCGCCACGTGGTACTCCACCAGCACCTTGGCGTTGGCGATGTTCTCGCGCGTGCCCACGAACACGAACGGCACCATGCCCTCCTCGCGCGGCGCCGACGGCGCCGGCTCGTTGTCGCCCTCCACCTTCACCTGCGGGCGCGCCGGGACTTCAGCGGGCCCCTCCCGCGGCTCGGCGGGGCCCTACGCCTCTACCGACGGACCTACTCGGGTCGGCATCCTCTACGGTAATCGACATTGCACGCGAGTGGTACGCCCAGCCACACAAAACCGTACGACCTGTCGCTCCTCGGTAGCGGAGGGAGCGAAGCGGGGAAGCGGCCGTCCGTCGGGTCCCTAGCGCTAATCGCTGCAGACTTGTGCGGTGGAATGTCAGTTGTCGCTGTGTGGCCCGTACCGGTGCGTCGTGAGTACGTACGCGCACGACGCCGCTCTTGTCCACGATCTCCTGGATGACCTTGCCGTTCTTGCCGATGACCTTGCCCACGAGCGCGCGCGGCACCTTGATGGACTCCTCGGCGTACTCCAGCAGCGACCGCGCGGACCGCACGGCCTCCACCGTCTGCCGGCCACACACGTTCGACGGTTGCAATCAAATGCAATTCAAAAAACATCTCAAATGGATAAACAATGCAGTCCGTACGACAAAAAGTTCCCGCGCACTATTCCAATTAGACTCGGCATCGACGAACTGAACTGGACGAAATGACTTCTTAACACTGATCATTACAGAAATACTCAAATAATGATCAACCTCTAGGTGCCGAGAATTCACTTAAATGTACTTCAGCACGTAAACAAGTCTAAAAACTTGGATTCAAAACAGGGTGAAATTTAATTTGTTAATATCATCCCTTAATGCAAGGTGCCTTAATTTTGTTCTTCTTCATTAAAGTTTAAATTAAATTGTAATTTGTAGAAAGTTTGGTACTATCATCACAGTCAAAGTCTTGACCACTGAAGACCCTGTAACTTCCCAGCATGCACTTACTGTTCGCACGGAGCTTACTGGCCTAGTGAGTCTGGCTAGACTAGCAAACAGGACTTAAAATGAAGCTTTACATAACAAGTTCTGGTTACGTGCGTTAAAAGTCGAATACATTTTTATTGCAGCATGTGTGTAAAAGAGCATGGTTCCATTATGTGATAAAACATCTAAGGTGCAACAGTTAACACATTGAATGCTAAACGGGGAAAGGCAGCAAAGTTTTTATATTGGAATTGTAGTCTATGTTCTGGAGTTAATAATACTTGTTAACTTATTGTTAAATAAATATAGTCTGTTTTTATTTTAATAAAGAAAGTACGAACAAACAAAATGCCTAAAATACATGTACACATTTATTCTATTTAGGCATCATAACTACACTATTAGAATTCTAAGATTTAATTGTATAGCTTTATGATTTCGAGTTCTTAGGTTTTCGCGATTGTTACACATAGGAAATGAAACTATTTTTCCGGATTGAAATCGCGTATATTTGTTTTTTCGTTCGTTTCGGAGTCAACCGTGACCATGGGATCTATAAAGAGCCCGAAACGTCGGTTTGTTTGAAAAAAACAAATACACGCGATTTAAATCCGGAAAAATTGTTTCATTTCCTATAGCTTTATGATTGTTTATTAATTAAGGTTCCTTTTTTATTGATTCTTCTAACATCATCATAGCTTCCTTTACATTCGTTTCACTTGCGTCAGATTAAGTTAGAATGAAACAAATTTCTCTTTACAGCACGTCAAAGCATCCCTAGTTGTTATTATTTAGAGAGAGAGAGAGAAAGAGACAGGTGTCACCTCGCCGCAGATCTTGAAGGTGCAGGAGAGCTCCTCCAGCTCGATGTTGGTGACGCCGGGCACCTTGCGCGCCTGCTGGATGTTGGCGCCGTGCGTGCCGATGGCCAGCCCCATCAGGTCCTCGCGCACGTTGAACTCGTCCGTGTACCTGCAAGCATTGGGCGCTGCACTGCCGCACCGCCGCGGCCCGTCGCCCGCGAGGCGCCTCCGCTCAGACTCACCCTCCTTGATTGTGAATTTTAGTGGACTCCAATTGTCTAGCTGCTTCTTCAGTCTTTTTCAATAATAACAGCTTTTGAGTAAGGTTCCTGGAATTTTTCAATATTGCAATTTAAAATCCTTTGCCCGATTTTGTACGTCGATAATAAATTAAAAGAAGGCAGTCAAATTGTGAAAAGTATACATAAAATACTATCCTATACTAACTTTTGACAAATTATTGTTGTAACGACGACTTGTTCAATGGGCATTGCGACCGTCATTTGTATTAAACTCGGTTTATCGTTTAATTTTATTAACAGTTCGTCGGTGTTTTGTAGAAAGGGCGAAAGCGCCATTTTGAAACATTTTCAGGAGTTTTGCTTTTAATTACGTTTGAGTTTTAATATTGAATTTGAAACAGAAAAACCTTTTGTATCATTATGTGTTGTGGTCAATATATTTTAATAAAGTTTTAAAATAAATACTTTAAAACATTAGTAACATTATAATGCTCAATGGAATTCCATTAAAGTGAATATCACACTTTAAAGATTTAGGACACTATATTGCCGATGACCTCAAAGACTGTATGGACATGGAACGTGAGCGCAGGGCACTGTCGGTGAGGGCGAACAGGCTGGCTCGCAGGTTTACTCGATGTACGATGGAGGTGAAGTCACTCTTTTTAGAGCCTAATGCACACCACTGTACGCGGGTGCCCTGTGCTATATACCCAAACCTCGCTCAGAGCCCTGCGTACGCAATATAATAAAGCCTTCAGGACGCCGCTGCGGCTGCCACGAATCTGTAGTGCATCTGCCATGTTTGCTGAAGCTCGCGTCGACAGCTTCATGGTACTCTTACGGAAGAAATCGGCGTCTTTATTAAAAAGAATACTTGGCAGCAGCAACGGCCTATCGAAGACTATCGCGGATAGGAGTGAATGCCCCGTGATGCGGCACTCAATAACAACCACAAAGTCTGTAGTAGAGATTTAAGTACTAACCTAATTATAAGCTTTTTGTAAGTAACACTTCATGGATCCCTGTTGTCAGTAATAAAGATTTATTATTTTATTAGTGAAAAATTAAAACATGCTCCCTTGAAAATTTTTCCCAAATGGCGCTTTCGCCCTTTCTACAAAACACCGACGAAATTTTAATGAGCGACTGTTAGACCAAAACATACACCTCTTGAAAACGCAAAAAGTCGATTGACGTCACATCAAACAAAAAGCCGATTGACGTCACAGGCGCAAAGCTTTTATGGGCTCTGCGACGTCACGTGTCACAAAACTGAAAAGTAATAATTAATTGCACTTGAAAATATCAGAAAACTATTTGTTGTTGTTTAGTGTTTATTTTTTTTATGGTACATTGTTCCGGAACCCACCGGCGATGTATACATGTATACATAAACAACAACCTATGATCTGTACAAAACATAATAAAATTACCAAAAATAAACTTATCAGTCGGTGAATGACAACACAGTGAAAAGACTAAGCCTGATTGCCAGTCTTTAGAATTATTGTTAATATTATTACTTTTCTCATAAACGTAGACGTCAAATTTAAGAAGAATCAAGTATCAAGGCAAAAAGAGGAATCGAAAGGTTCAGGAACGTAGTATGTGGAAGTCCAGAATGGGCGTAATGGTATGTGTAGTACCATATTACCATCAAAAAATGACGCGTAATATTCCATTACACGCTACTACCACAATATATATATATTTTGATATCTTCATTTATAAAGTTTAAACAATTTTAAGAGTTATCTTCGACGTTTGTAATTGTTTTTATTTCTATATTTCTAATTATATTTAAATTAAATAATAATATATTTTAAAATTTAATTAATTTTGTGTCTTTTTCGTAGAAGTTAGTGAAAAAGTGTTTGGCCATTCCTGAACAATGTATGAAAATTGATTAACATAAAGAATACAATCTTGACGAAGCTCAAACACCAATCTATGCAACCAGCAACATATTAGGCAACTTGACTTTTCGATTATTTTTTATATTTCCAGCGACGACGAGGCGAACCAAGGAGATGGTGGGACGCGTCTGTAAGGGACTGGCCTTACATTACGCTGGTTTGACGTAAACCGTTTGAGCGGTGGAAGGCAAGAGAGGTCTTTACCCAACAGTGAAAAAGTTGTACATAACTCTAGGCCATAGGTTCCCTTGGCTCACCGCCCACTTGGGCAAGACAAAAAAAATGTCAAAAAACATGTATTTTTTATATTAATTTAACACAAAAAGTCACAAGGAAAATATATATATATGTAGTGTAGTTTATATAGATAATATAGGATTTTTTTTTAATGCGGTAGCACCACCTGGACAGCATCAACGCCCCTCAATTGCTCCCGGTATGGGTACCGCCCGTCTAGTAGGACTCTTCAGCGCCCAAGGGGGGGACGATATGGACTGCTTTGTGAAAGTATGCTCTAAGCGATTTGCAATGCACATAATTTATTTGTTAATAATAATTTTGGGCAAGTGTCGATGCGTGTTAGTCCCGCATCAAAGAAAAAAGCACTGTTACCTAAAGTGCATCTCCTGCAGCATGGCGGCGCGGCGCTGCGAGGAGTCCGAGCGCGAGATGACGGCCAGCGCGCCGCGCTCGGGCACGTACCACACCAGCGCCGCGCCGATGGCCTTCTGGAACTCCTTGTGCGCGTTCTCCACCTTGGCGCTGTGCATGTCGTGCAGGCTGCAACGCGACGGACCCTCGTCACCACTTCACTCGCGACAAGTGTCGCTGACTCTACACCCGCTTAACCGTAGCAAGAAACCCGTCTCATTCGAATCTTTCACTTTTATTCTATTTTAGGTAACAGAGAAGTAAAACGTGTCTTAGTGTAATATCATCCCCTTTAACTTAACTACTTACTTTTAATGATAAAGTAAAATTTTCTTTTTTTAATGTGTGTGTTTATTGCGCTTACTTTTGTAAACCGCTTCGATGATCCTTTTTTGTTGAAAAGGGAGACCTCAGTAGTGGTCCCATTGAAATTTGAAAAAAATATTACACCTCTTCGACTGCTAACAGATTATGACTGCATTTTTGCAGTTAATGCGTGAAGTCGTAATCAACTTCATGCAGCCGAAACCACGACCTTATGCGTTAACTGCATGCAGCCGAGATCGACTGCGTGCAGTTAATGCGTGTCAAGCTTGACGTGCTCTTGACCCTGTACACGCTCTTGTCTACAATCTCACTAACGACGACTACACGAGTACGCGCTTGTCTAAAAAAAAACCTTAATCATCTAGCCTTGTGTAGCCCGAAGTTGTAGTTTTCGCGAAACACAAATGCCGATAATGTGTTCTACTCCCGAGATTGCAAAACGCGTCGTGCGAATATATGGTATATCAATAACATTAATTTTCGTCAAATTCGTTAGTTCATCTATTAGTGCTGTAAGCTGTCACTAAGATTATTAGCAATTATTATACTATAAAATACAATAAACAAAATTTTGTATAATATACGCATCGAGTTCTTAGGTTTTCGCGATTGTTACACATAGGAAATGAAACTATTTTTCCGGATTTAAATCGCGTATATTTGTTTTTTCAAACAAACCGACGTTTCGGGCCCTTTACAGGTCCCATGGTCACGGTTGTTAATATACGCAGTAATCAAGATTTTTTTCTCGAAATTTATCAGATCAAAATATAAAAAGGAAATAATAAGATAATTAATATTAAAATGATTTATGAAATAAAATCGACAATGAGACAATAATTGCATCAAGCGATAAACACCTGTATCTTATGTCAATAGAAAAATTTAATTATTCTACCAAGGTCCTAGCAGGTTTTGCGTATGTTTAACTAGGTGATATATCAAAACAGTTACGAAACGTGTGTATTGTTAAAATATACGGCAAACAGAATCTCACTGGCCGATAGAACACAATTACTCTAAAGTATTTTTAGGGATTTATCATTGCAAGACTACCCTATCCAGCAATGCAATGGATTTTAAAAAAACACCAAAAACACTAACTTTACCAAGTTATTTTTTTCTTCCTATGCATTGGCATTATGGTTTTCAGGAAGATTTCCTGGATGAAACTTTTTGGCATTTTAGAGAGTCGAGACTGTTGCCTTCAGTCATTGACTTACAATTATATGGACGTCGGGTCCGCGCTAAAAGTGTCCGAATTTATAGGGCGTTAAAATCGTATACAGAGCGTCATTCACGCTTTAGTCTTCGTTTGTTCGACTGACAGCGAAGCAAGCAAAATTAGACAGTACTGCGATGACATTACAATTTAAATTCAACGTTTTAGCTTTTTCATATTCCTTTACATGTCACTACGTTTAAATAGGTTGACTTGGGAAATTTTTTTCGTTGTTTTTGTATTAGACCCGTCGTCCATTTGTAAGTCAATGCACTATCTATAAAATCAGGTTGTCTCTATCTGAAACTACATTAAACGCCCTTTGTTTCATACGTGCCCAGCATAAAAATTTATAAAACTTAATTAATGTTTTATATACACTTGTAATATATTTTTTTACATAACTATTTTATGTTTTATAATTTTAATAAGCAATTTAACTAAAATATCATGTTTTAACTGCCTACATGCCTAGCCTATAAGAGCCTATACACACAGCGTATTTTATACGCGCTAACGACGCGCGTTTACGGCGCCGTAAAGGTTCAAAAAGCAGATTGTTGCGTTTATATCGATTAAAATGTGTTCGAAGCGCGTCTACGGCGTGTATACGCGCAGATGGCGCGCGTTTACTGCGCCATTGAATTTGTGAACGTGCCCAAAGGTTTACTCGCTACGACTGCATCGCGTTTGAATGACGTTTACGCACGTCATTTGCGCGTCGGCGCGTATGAAATACGCCGTGTGCATAGACTCTAAGTGTGGAAATCTACTTTCGAAAGTCTCACATTTCACGGGACTTTCGAAACTACGTCGAGTCTCAATCTTTTTTCCTCGGGACTCGGGAGTTGCCGCGAGTCTGAAAGCCCTGAGGATACGTTCCCATTACGTCGTAATTATTATCATATTACGTTTTATTTATGGTTGGACGACTGTCCCGTCTAGCCTATTCCCATATCACGACTATCTGTCGTGACTGTGTCGCGGACGTTTATTTTACCAATGAACGACTGTCGCATGTCGTGTCAATCTGTTCCCACCACATCGTGACGACAATTTATCGGTTTACGGGAGCCACCTTGTCGTTTGGACGACAGAATCGTTTGAAGCTGCGATTATCTGTCGTTACATTTTTATCGTGAGGTTTTATTTATCGTCAGACGACTGCCGTTCTAGCTTTTCTCATCTCGTCTCGTCTGTCGTCGTAACGTCAAAAAAGTTGTAAACGACAGTTAATCGCGTTGTACAACTTTATTTAAATATGCAAGACACAACACTTTAAATTGCACGACTATCTGTCGTCACGATATAATGGGAACGCGCCGTAACTGGCATACATGCAAAATGATTAATGAGTGTTGCCATTTAAAGGAACGTAGTATTCACTGGCTGAGATTCTTCCTGACTATAATTGTCGTAACAAGTATTAGGGAGATTGTTCAGGACAACTGTTTTCGGTTGAGAAATTGACCTCTAGTGCGGTTTATTGCAATCCACAATGTAAAGATACAAAGACGAAAACTTGTAGCTGTGTGAACCAATTATGGACCCTGTTGGGCACAGCAATTTTAGTACAGAGAGTAATAAAAATTGTAAAAACCATAAATTAAATGCACTAAATAACAAAATTTGAAAGATTAGTGAAGAATATCGCTTTTGAAGGAAGAGGGAGATAGTATACCTTAGACCAAATGGTCAGAAGATATAACAACGAAATACAATTGCTGAAGCACAGCTGTTCTTCACTGTACTTCAATAGATAATGGGGCCTTGCAAAGGTAACATTTCAAATACTTTAAAACAAATATCGATTTCAATCGAAAGTACACCCTAATGCCATTGTGACAAAGTTGATATTTATCGAATAATCCACACACACACAGTGATTATTTTTATCAATATACTCACTAGTCCTTGAGATCATCTGGTACAGAGATTTCAAACTTGTGGAAGGTGGTTTTATCGATAGGCGTCTTGGGCGTTTTTACTCGTAGGCGGTCTTTTGGCACTATCTCTGTGTAGCAGTTGTCCCATTCTAAGTATTCTATGACCAGGAAATCACCCCTCATCATCTGGAAAATTTAAAGTAACAATATCTTAGAGGATTAAATTGATATGTCAGTTTTTATACAGACTGACGATAAGCTCGAATCTAAACTTCATAGTTTAGTCCACCGGCGCAAAGTTGCCTGTCTGTCGATTTTCTACAGAATATATTTCGGTGAGTGTGCCTATGAGCTCCATCAGCTCATCCCGTCCGCCCCCTTTTACCATCGGCCATCCAGACGTACGGCGGGATATCATCCTTACTTGGTCGATATTCCCTTCAGGCGTACTAAGTGCTTTTCATCATCTTTTATTATGCACACAGCCCAGGGAATGGATGTTTTCGAGCACATACAACCCTGTATCTTTAAAGTGTGACAGAATAGGCATCTTCTGGGCCAGCTGATTCCATCATAGTTCCTATCTTTGCTCCAGAGCTAGGTAGTGGTCAAGCAGAAGTAAAATTGAATCTTTGTCCTGCAGAAACATGCAGTTAGGGCAATTTACAATCTGGGCCCCAAAGTATCTTTGAGAGTTAAGTTTAAAGAAATTAACATTCTTACACTAGCCTCACAGTGCATTTATGAAAATGTAATTTATGTTAAAAGGAATAGTAATTTCTTTATGAAAAATAGTGACAGACATAACATTAATACGAGGAATAAAAATAAACTAGCTTTTCTTGATAGTCGACGAGTATACGCTTCTTTAACAAGATTCCGGTTGATATTCAAAATTTGCCTTTCACGAGGTTTAACACTATAGTGAAACAAAAACTTTATACTAAAGGTACAACTTCTGTGTACTTGGATGACAAAAATCCGTGGTAGTAACACATTTTGCTCACGGGGTTTAGTCTCGATCTCTGATGTTTCAAATAAAAAAAAATATTGTAAATGTTATTTACAAAGAGCAACCCCTAGAGTTTCTTGCTCATTCTTCTCAGGGGAATCTGCCTTACGAATGAGCGGTAGAGTGTAACCATTGTGACGATTTCAAGTGTACTAATGCTTACCTATGAAATAAAGATTATTTTGAAGTCAATGTAAGTTTTTTAAACAAAGACTTTTGCATTAAATCAGGAAATGGATTAAGTGGTCTCAAACACAAGAAACATCAAACATGCAAGACACGACAGATCACATTGTACAAAAAAATTTTAGAATGATCTGTGGGGCTAGCACGACAGCGCACGACAGCGCGCGACTTGTGGGAGAGCGACATAAGCGCGAGATACTGGTATTCTCGTATCGAGATACTGCTATTCTCCCATAGAGATCTCGCAAAAGTCGGCCCTGCCATGCCATGGTCCTACTGGAATGAACTCCAATTATACTGGATATAGCTATTAGTTTGACGTGAAACCAACCTTAACATATATATTTGATACGAAAAAAATAGACAAAAGAAAGCTAGATAGCTTTGTTTGGAGAATCATTGCCCACAAAGCAGGAGCTCCTAGGTTAATTCCCACTGAGACACCTGCACCACTGACTTTTCTCAATTTCCAATCAGTTGCCTAAATGGTAACCATTTGAAAACTTGTAAATCCCTAACCTGCACTAGATCAGTGTAGTAGACTAAGGCGTACACAAACGACTCAGAAAATCTATGCTCAGTCGTGAACTATAGTAGGGGACATTACATTACTATTCTACACAAGCACAGAGTCAGTCAAATATATAGCATTACGAACATACTTTAGAATATGTAAGGAACTAACAAAATCCTTTATAAACTAATTTAACCAATATAAACATTTTTTCTTTTTATTGATTAATATTGTGAAAGTGAAAACGCCTTGTATTAATCTTATTATCTCTTTACCATTTCATAATCAACATGTTATTAGATTATTGAAGCAATAAATAACTGAGTGTAATACTATATTTGTCACTGTATATAAATAAACACAAATTTCTCAGAAATACATTAGAAGTTTCCAGAAATAACCAAATGATAGTTTAATACATTGTATTAATTGTTGTTAGTAAATATAACCTCAAAATAGACCATTGGCAGCAGTTACATTAACAAAAAAAAAACAAAACATTTGTCTGTATTAGACTATTCTGATATCAGTGTAAGTGTATCTCCGAGTATTCGGGATTATACATGCGAAGATTAATTTGCAATTTACCAGGAGCTTTTTGATAAAGGAAAACATTGCGATGAAACTTGAACATCATAGAAGGTTCACAACACTTGGAAAACATGTGATGTCCCCAAACCACATTGGGCAAGCTCGGCTGAGGAGACATTGGCCCAGCAATGGCATGTTAACTGGTTGATGATGATGATGATATCAGTGTGGGTTAATTCAAAATAAAAAAAAAGTAATTACACAATCCAAACTAAGAAAATCATATATAACATATCATATAAATATATAACAATTATAATTCCTCTTTGAATCATTGTGCAATATTATATAGGCATGTACAGCTGTTTAAAATATTAGATATTGAAGGACATTGAATTATTTAGGGAGAAATAGCAGCTGGCTGGCACAACAAAGGGTAAAACCAGTCTAGACTTAATAGGTGTCCATTCTAGCCAAACTGTTCATGTATCACTGAATATATTTAAGTAAGAAATTGAGAATACATCACATTAAGTATTATAAGATGGAATATGGACTAACAAGAGAAGGAATTTTGTTAAAGAGCAATACATTTCTGAATTTTATATGCAGTTGTAGGAAATCAAAATAGAAAACTGCATGTTGCATGATCACAGCTGCAATGTAATTCGATTGAGATGTATTTGTTAGACTAGTGGTTATTTCACGCGTTAAACTATAGTATAGGTATAGATGTGTAAATTTAATACCTTGATATTTGCCGTCCACCACCCACATGCCTCCTTTTCATTCGATCTCGCGAACACCTCAACTTCTTGGCTTTCCACAAACTCTGTATGCTTGCCGGTGTCTTTCGGCGGTAGAAACACTTGCGAAAAGGGAAATTTTGATTCTGGCTGCCAGCTGCAAAAACATACAAATAAAATAACAGTGCAAATCGACAAACACACAGTAAAAATCTAAACATAATTAGTCAAAATCTCAACTTACTCATTTTCAAAGGCTACGAGAACCTCGTTGTCGAGCACGTCGGTGACAATGGCCTAAAAATACAGGAGAATTTTAGTACATTCTTGTCTTCCAGAATCTTGGTAATGCGTTAGATATAAATAAGCTAACTGGGTCACGCACGTGGAAATGCGCATATACAAAAAACTGATACGGCACGACCCACTTTTTATTCCGGAACAGTAGCTACAAATATAAAAAACGGCACAATTACAACACATGGAAAATTCACGCCCTGTCAGACGGACATGGCGTCCATTCCAGCCGCGATGATCTTCCCGGAAAAATATTTTAGTAAGTATAAGATAAAACATCTAACAAAATGCTGGAAACGGTAAGGAATTAATTGCACTAATAATAATAGAGTCCGGTTAGAGACAATTTAACGTACTTCACAATCTACAAACCTTATAATAAGCACCATTTTCACCGTACACCTCGACCGACAAATCCTCCATTTTGGTTTGAAAGCGTATTTTTTGGCGTTTTCAGAGCAAGAACGAACGCTCGTAGAAAACTACTGACCAATAGCTAACAAGGATTCTTTCATAGACAATTTGTTTTTTTAATGAAGTGAACGACTGAATGAACTGTGACTCATTTATAAGGTTTTTTTGTTTTGAATTCGGAATTCCCTGAAAGTTATCAAATTCATAGAAAGCAGACCAAGTATAATATCATTGAAACAGATGATTAAAACTGCGATGCAAAATCAGGTACACGCACAGAAAGCGATTCGCTCGCCTGGAGCCGATTGTGGCAACACAAATAAATATGTTGAGGTTTAGGCGATTAACACACTGCACCGCGCCCCGCGACGGAGCGCGGAGCTGCGTTTTTTAACGTTGTACTGAAGTACCTCAGTTTGTATGGAAAACACGCGCCGTCGAACACACCGATAACGCTTCTCCACGCGGAAGCGCGTCACGCGCGGTTTTACCGCGTCCCCGCGCGGAGGGACACGTCGAACCGCAGGGTATGGCACACTGCGCTTCGCACTACCGCGCAGATTTTTAATCAATTTGTGTCTATTCCAGTAATTGTCGTTCGGACGTTCCCTAACAAATAATCAAAGGATTCAGTTGACATTCGTATGTAGTTGAAAAATTAATCTTCATATTTTCTTAAATCTTTGTATTGAAGTTGAATGTTATCTTCGTTCTTGCTATACATAACCTTACATTGTTATGATTATTAATATAAAGATCGAACACAAAGAAAGTTTTCCCATCCCCATCTCCATCCTATCCCCATTCGTCCCATTAGATTGAAAAAATATTTTCTGTGTGTAAATCAATTATTATAACATTTATTCAATTCGCATTTAATAATTTTATCGATATCGACATTATAAACAACTTTCACATCATAGTCGATAGTCTAAATAGTGGGGATTCCCGTTCAAATTCAAATTCAAAATAATCTTTATTTCATAGGTAAGCATTATTGCACATGAAAATTTTCGTTACGTTACGCAAAACGTTAATTTTCTTTGTCGCATGACTGCATTTACATTATCACGATTTGATGCTTGTTAATTAAAAACTCTAAGAAAGTCCATGATTAAGCGAAGAATAATTATAATACGACCTTTTAGATAGATAATTCAATATTTGCAAAATTTTCCAATGACTCGAAATATTTTGTATGTAATCGGCAAATATAATCAATGTCAATGTCATCGGGAAAAAAATTAATTTATGCAAAAAAAATGTACTTTTAGTTAGTTTTTAATTGACTTGTTCTTTGACAGAGCGAACTGCCTATAGTTATTACCTACGAGACTGCCAATGGATTGCGCCTACCGTGTTGTATGCTCTAAGTTTCAACATAAGTTCATGTATTTACATATGTTACTAGGTTACAATACAATACAAATATTCTTTCCACTTTTCATGCTCTTAAAGTTCGTATTTATACTGGGTGCAGGCTGCATGAAATAGGATTTTATACTCTAGTGCATAAAATAACATCGTCGTTTAAGACCGAGACAATGACGCCTGCGCCAATAGCCTCGCACACTAGAAATTTATAGAATAAAGTTTTATTTTATTATTTTAATCCGTGTTATATTATGTCTAATTGTTGTAATTTTACATTCATTTTTAATTAAATAATCGTTTATTTGTAATATTGCTGTTTTATTTCTTCGCAATCGAAGAGTAAAGCAGAATGTATAACTCGTTCATAAAACCCATTTTACCCTCGACTTACCTAAGTATCCACACTCGCCTGCCGTCTCGGGTAAAATGACGCGTTTTATGCAGTTGTTGTACAATTTACTATTATTGCATACTAGGATAAATATAAAATAATACAAAAAAGAAAAAGACAGGCACAACAGGCGGCCTAATTGCTATATAGTAATGTCTTCCAGGCAACCTTCGGGTTACAGGAAAAATTGTGAGATAATAATAAATTAAGGGGGCAACAGAATTCGTATTTAAAACACATATTGCACATACACAAGTTAAAAAAGAAAGAAAAATAACAATAAAAATAGTCTAACTAAAACAGATATCCAAAACACTTAAATAAATAAATAATTAAAAAAATACATATGATTACACAAAATGATGTAGCATTATATAGAACGTAATAATAACAACACGGTCGATCAAAACAGGTAAGAATAGGAGGAAATAATAATAATTAGAATGTAAGATAATGAGATTTGACTAGAGTTTTGAAAGACTCAACAGACTTAGCGCGTCTGATCGATTCAGGCAGAGAATTCCACAGCTTGATGCTTCTGACCTTGAAGGAGTTGGAATAGAAGTTGGAAGAATGGATAGGTTTAAAGAAATAGTAAGAGAAGACGCAGCGCTGACGAATACATTATTTGTTACTGTATTGAATTGAGAGAGAACCATAGGAGAGAACCACTACTAAAATGAAAGAACGATTTTGAACCAATGTAAACGGTTCTGTGCCGTATCTTTATAATTTATGACGTATCAGCGCTGCCTGCTGGCTTACACGAAATACCAGCGCCGAATACTGGACTAAAGTAAATCTGCTATAAAACGGTGCATCATATTAATAACATTTAAATGAACCAGTAATTCCTAAATATATCTTTCTAATTTCTGGAATGGACATTAAATTAAAGCATAAGCAAGACGATTCTTAACGTTTTAACGACTCTGGACACTTGCAGAATGAGAAGTAAAACAATTCATAACACTAATAAAAAATAATAAAATTACAACACTTGAAATCTCGGAACGAATGAGAAATTTACGAGTTTTGACATTTGTGGTCGCTTTCCGCTCGCATTCGTTCTTTATATTTTTTGCCACATACTCAATTTCACATTATTACTGAAAAAAGTGGTGAAAATACGTATCTTTTTAATAAATAAAAGGTAATTAAAAGACGTGACTTGAATATTTAGTCGAGTTTTAGTTTTAAATAGATCCTAAGTAATGCCGGCTTTTTTGGTTATGTTTACAATTTACAGTTTTATACAGAATGAGTGGCGAGAAGAGTGTGATTTTGGTGACGGGAGGGTCAGGGTTGGTCGGCCAGGCTATCAAGACGGTCGTTGACAACGAGAAACGGCAGGCAACCGAGAACTCGAAGAATGAAATTTGGATATTTTGTGGCTCTAAGGATGGGGACTTAAGGTAAACTCATAGATAACTTCCTAATAGATGCCGCCTGTTGACAATTTTGTACTGAACCGAGCTCACCAAATTCGGAGGAAGGCAAGAGACGCGGGGAATGCAATCAAGACGTTCTCATCTGCTAGTTCAAGGTTGAACTAGAAATGCAAATTGCACTTACAGCTACTGATAAGCAACCTTTATCAGTCTTTATCCAATTAGTCGGTGAAAACGATAATATTGTAACACACAAATTATTAAATTCTTCCATGCTGATCTGAAAGCAAAAGAAAAGCATAGAATGTATCATCTGCTTATGATTCCGTGCAAATTGTAAAAGCCGACTGTGGGTCTGGGTTTTAAATGTGTTCTATATGTAGGCGACAAACTGGCAACCTGTCACTATTTAGTGCACTAAGTTATACTAAAATTTTAATAAAAACCTTTGATAATCGTGGCTAAAGTGGGCTTGTCTTACTCAAAGCTCTGACTACCCCTATGGGAGACAGGCGTGACAGTAGTATGTAAGTAAATTATTGAAAGACTTACGACAGCAGGATGATATTTAAGAAAACAAGGTACTTAAGTATTATAAGTTGTCGTATTTACAAAAGCATAACTAATGAAATTAATTATGGTGTTAAGTATGTATAATGTCATAATTGAAGGTTTAGGTCATACAATGTAAGGTGATAAGATAAAAACATGAACACATACTTGTTATTTATTGTATTACGTTACAAGAATAACTATTATAATATAATCAAAGAAGACATAAAATAATATATTACTAAAACTAATTTATGTAACCAATTTCACACAAAACGTAATCAAAGAATAATAAACAATAAGTGCCATCTATAAATGTTGTTAAAAAAGTAATATACTAATATTTGTTATACAGTATATTTATAATATATTATATAATATATTTATCCAAGTAAACAGAAGCTGAGTGAAGTTGTGTGTATGTTTCACTATAAATAGTTATAAACTCATTTAAAACCTCGGTAAATGGCAAATTTTCATATAGTTTATTTTTATTGCTCGTATTAATGTTGTGATCACTATTTAATTTTTTCATTAAAAAATTGCTATACTTAACGTATTATAAAGTTTCATACATGTACTGTGATCAGTGTTGGGCAAAATTTAATTATTCAGTCAATTAAAAATTGACAATGAATTAATTGTGAATTGCGAGTGAGTTTGAGACCACCTAACCCACCCCCATATTCATAGTGCCATATTCGTAATGACACTTTTATGCGGTAGTTTCGGTTTTAATTGTTAGTTTCAATTGTTTCTTAGAAAAATTAAAAAAATTAATTGCAATTAATTTAATTGCAATTACAATCAATTCAATTGAAATCAATTGCAATTAAAATTAATTGCGACATTGCAATTGATTTTTGTTGCAATTGATTTTAATTGAATTGATTTTTTAGTCTGATTGAAATTTAATTGATTAACGCCCAACACTGACTGTGATGCTAGTGTAAGAATGTTATTTCTTCGAACTTCACTCTCCTCATTGCAGATGCCTTACCAAATTTCTCCAGGATTTGTCTTGAAGACCCACATTAGTGTCCAAAGCAGCTTAAGACCTTTTATTGTATATTTTTTGTACAGAGATAAGAGTGCAACAGAAGCTCTATTTGAGAAGTATAAGCCAACACATGTGATACACTTAGCTGCCATGGTCGGTGGGCTATTTCACAACATGGCACACAACCTGGATTTCTTTGTAAGTTTAAACACGTTTTAGATTTATTTGTATTCTATTTATTGTCTATACTCTTAAAATGTGTATTCACTCTAGCCTTGAATAACCTCGAACTAGTGATGCAACGAAATTGTCATAATGGAAAGAGAAAAGGAAACAGAGTGAACGGAAGCAGGGGCCCATCTGTTATTCTTTTCGCCCGAAACCTGTTCGAAACAATTACTGTTAAATAAGTAATATTCGACCAAAATTAAAAGGCCATGTCAAGTATGAATCTTCATTCACATAATGCTTCTTTTATTGAAAGTGTAAATACTATAAAGATAGCAACGAAATATTCCGAAACAGGCGCGGAAAAGCGTACGGAACTTTGTGGAAACAGAAGCAGAAGTTCGTTGCATCACGAGCCCAAAAAGTGGTTTTCGGGAAACAAAACGAGATGACGCTGTTAGAGTCTCATAAGAGCGATGCCACACGGGCGTGAGCAATGCGGTATCGCAACGTAACGTCGCTTACTACGTAACGTTGCAGCCCTTCATCCTCTGACGCCTTATCGAATGCGCACGCGTTCTGTCGCCGTGCGCCGTTTGAAAGTACCACACGGTGTGTAGTTCTAATTTATATGTAGGTGGTACAACGCAGCGTCACGGCATCGTGTGGCATTGCTCTTGAAGGAGGACACAAAGCACTTCGCTATTTACTGGGTTAATTTCCTACAATGCTCAATGCGTTTTCATTTGTGAAGAACTTGGTACTTGTTGTTTCAGAGGGAAAACATGGCAATAAATGACAACGTCCTTCACGCCAGTTTCAGGTATAAAGTGAAGAAGGTGGTCTCTTGTCTATCCACTTGCATCTTTCCTGACAAGACCAGTTATCCTATTGATGAGACTATGGTGAGTTCGTTTTTTCGTTCTGGTCTGGACCAGGCAGTATGGTACCCATGGACCTCTTGACCAAAACATCCCCATAAGTTGCTCTCCACAGAATCTAGTCCCGTTCCTTTTTTTTTGTTTATATTTTATTTGATGCATTTTCTTCAATAACACTATAATGTATAAACTATTTTTGAAATTAAACATTTTAGGAAATGAAACTATTTTTCCGGATTTAAATCGCGTATATTTGTTTTTTCAAACAAACCGACGTTTCGGGCCCTTTACAGGTCCCATGGTCACGGTTGACTGAGGTGGCACAGTCATCAACCAGTTGTTGAACTGGTTGAATCCGGAAAATAGTTTCATTTCCTATGTGTAACAATTGCGAAAACCCAAGAACTCGATATTAAACAATTTTTTTAAATCACCTTAATTGACTATGGTGAGTCAATATCAAGCACATAGTGGTGTGGTGGATTCAACGGGCACTACGTGACACATCACCGTACGTGGTACATCACCTTCAAAAGAAACAAGTTAACTTGAGTCAACTCATATTTTGCTTTAGCGCGAAACAAACGTTCATAAGACTTGAAATATTCCTCAGGTGCACAATGGTCCACCTCACGACTCCAATTATGGATACAGTTACGCGAAGAGAATGATAGATGTCCTCAACAGGTAGGTGTATAATGTGTAATTTTTTTTTATCAGCAATACCATAAAAATACACAGGTGCATGAAAGGGAATTCCCACGACGCGCCATTTTCCAAAATCATCTGGCGCGCCCTGGGCAGCAATCGGCGGGTATCCTACGCCAATTAACAAACCCTTTCACCACGATGTCAAGCATTGTAATATACGCGATCAATACGAAAAGAAGAATTAAAATACGTAGTAAGCTGTCTACCGCTTATGGATGGGCTCTGGCCCATCCTCACATCCTTTCGTTTCGTTCGTTCCTTTTTCGGACCCGCAAAATGCGACGGCTCTTATAGTCTGGTAACGCATAGGAGCTCATCTAGTGTTGCAAATTAGCATTGGCGATGTTTGCTTGTTTGCCTCCTGCTTTACATAAAAAGAGGAATATTGTTTAATAAGTGTAACTAAGGATGCCTGATACAAGCACCACTCGTATTACATTTTGATTTTTTCTGTAATTCAAATAGCTCCCTCATTAGTCCACAACTCTTGTAAAACATGTGAAGTCCCCCGAATACGTTGAACACTGTTTATAGAGGAGACATGTGCCCAGCAGTTGGATGGATGTTGGTTGGATTATAATGGTGGCCACGGAAAAAAAACGACGGCAGTGCCTAAAACCTCGATTACTATCAGAACCGTTAAAACTCACATAATTTTTAACACTATGAAATCTTGCTAATGATTGGTCGCAGTTTCTAATTTGAAGAGAAGTAACAAATTCTGGACTGATAATATATCTAAACTTTGTTGGATAATATATCGTTGAGAGTTCAATACCTATTATTGCAAGTTACATTTAGATTTTATTTTGAAATTTTAATCAATATGGCGCCATCTAGCGGTCAATAGCTAAACGTCGGCGAATGCAAGATGTTAGTTCTCCACAAACGAAGTGACCAGTATGCTGTGGCATACTACTTTCGTTCCTTGTAACAAAAAAGTATTACGATAAAAAGAAAATGGATATAATGTTAAAATTAATATTAATTATAATATTAAAATAAGACCTAACGATGTTATGAAATATCACCATGGACAATATTACAAGTCGACTATAATTTTTGCACTCCAAAGTAGCAAAATAAGGTATTTTTCTATATAATTGATACGAACATGACGTACAAAGCGAAAGGTTCTGTGATAGTGGCTATGAAGTCTAATGTAGATGGTTTATTCGTCCTACGTAGCTGCTCATTTTATATTAGGTTTTTGTTTCGTCAGAGGCTACCACCTGCAACACGGCTGCACTTTCACATCTGTGATACCATGCAATGTCTTCGGACCGCACGACAACTTCAGGTTGGAAACGTCTCACGTCATTCCCGCGCTTATACGACGCATGGATGACGTTATGCAAAACGGTAAGTCGTTTTGCATTTACTTTATTGTTATTATCATTTTGGGTGTAATGCATTTAGATTCTCGCCTCTACTCTACTCTACTTGTGTGCAGCAGGTGTTTTGGAAGGTGCACGAACAGTTTGAGATGGTGGCCACGTGATGGTTTAAAGTTTTCTTTTGTTTTGTATTGCTGGTAGATTGTACTGGCTCATCAGAATTATATAAGTCTCTTCAAAAAAATACAGTCCAATTGAGAACCTCCCTTTTTTTTGAAGCCGGTTAATGAAAGAACTCGCAATCATTTCCATAAACAAGGTACATCAACTTCCTGTTGAAACTTTTCTCCTATGGCTCTTGATACAGGTGTTTACAATTCATAATGAATCGTTGTGATCTGGGAAATGTAGCGACATAAGCACTTATGAAGAAATGCCACTGTAAACAAAAGATTGACTACTTTCACGTGCTAAAATCGTGACGAGAAATAATTTTCGTACCGTACATGAATTGTTCTCCTGGCCAATTTGTCTTTTGGAATCTGCTGGTCTTCTCCAAACAATCGTCATTCTGCCACGCTGCACTATGGGAAATTTAGGTCAGTTACGGACCAAAAATCTGTAACTTTTTGTTTTTTGAGATACACCTTTCATTTTTTTATTAAACATAGTGGGAATTACGACGCTTGTAATCGCATATACATTTTTATTTAATTACCCGTAATTGAGAGATTAAAAAATGTCCAAAATCATACATCTCTCTCTGGTAAATACTATGCAATATTTATTTTTTTTAAATGGAAATGCCATGTTACGGTAATTCTTTATTCATAAAATAAATTAAATGTAAATATAAATTCTACTTTAAATTATATAAAATAAAAAAATGAAAATACGAGTTATGAAAAAACGTGAAAGCATATTTGTTATTATTTCGGATATCTGTTTTAGACTAGCCATAGAATAAAAAAAGTAAGAGAATGGAAGTGTCCACTCACCGCCCCTCCCTAACTTTATATACCGCACCACTCCCCGCACAATGGCGGTCACATTGACTGAACGTCAACAAGACTGTCGGCGAGCCGTTTTCGCGCTAAGACGGCTTTGATATTTGAATATAGTTTTCACGTATTCATACGGAACTTGTACGTTAATACATAACATCATTGTACGTTACTATTTAAAATACAGATTTATTATATCAATATAATGAGACGCCATAACTTCGTGTGCTATTAGACAGGGGTTTTTGAATTTTCAATTTATATTGCCGATAAACATTAATATATACCTAATTGTTAACTAGGTTAATTAGGTTAGTACCTTGGTTATCTATATTAATATACCTTGGTTAATAATATTTAAAAGTACCTCTCCAAAATATAACATTTAAAGTGCTTTTAATATATTTTTTAAATAAGTCTTCAACATTATTGTAATTAGTGAAAAATATAATATTACCTAATGAATATGTGTAATTATTAGGATTCTATTAACACATTTATAGATAACAGATTCGCTATGTTGCCGCTCTGATCACGTGATGTAATAGTACGAGCAGTGATGGATAACCCTGCCCACGCACACATTTGCGCGTGTGCAAATAGCGCCTTGCTGTATGTAGTAGTAGTAGTAGGTAAATAACTTTCGAACTTTATGTGGAGCGTCAGGGGTATGCTCTAGCCCACCCAGTGTAATATAATATATTTTTCAGAATCAGTGATGAGTTGGTCCACTTTCAATAGACGTAACGTCTCCTCGTCAAGCTCTTGTCGATTTTTAACATAAAGTTTTCGGTTTTACACTGTCCAGTTCATGGAATCCGGTCCTTAGTGCGTGCAGTAATAAAAACAAAAACACCTCGAGTTCAGTTTCGCGTGTGAATACAGTGAATGTGGTTTGTGTGAAAAAAGTGAGTGACAATGGTAACAAACGCCACAACAAATCGCGATGAAGGTAGTCGTCGACAGCGCAAGAGGGTAGACAGATATGTCTGCTCTTAGTCAAAGTCAAAGTCAAAGTCAAAGATGATTTATTCCATAGGTAAAATAAATTTACACTTGAAAACGTCACATTTAAGGTACTGCTCGTTCACTACGCTGACCTCCCTGAGAAGAACGAGCAAGAAACTCTAGGGATTGCTCTTTTCAAATAAACTTAAATGCTATGTAATATATTTTGAATCAAATTTGTGTGGATTCTAGAGCCATGTCGTCTTTCCATACATCTTTATCTAACACGTAGTCTTCAATTTTGTAATATGATTTTTCGATCAAAATATTTTTAATGTAGTTTTTAAACTTAGGAAATGATAAACTTAATATATGCTCCGGAATCTTATTGTAAAAACGTATACAGTTCCCCATAAAAGAGTTGTTTACCTTGGTTAAACGAAATCGTGGTACCATGAGTTTGGACTTAGCTCTAAGGTTAATATTATGGATATCTTCTTTCTTATTGAAATTATGTATATTTTTACGGGCATATAAAATATTTGAGTAAATGTACTGTGATGCCACAGTCATGATACCAGTCTCCTTAAACTTTTCTCTGAGAGATACCCGAGAGCCTAGACGGTACACAGAACGAATCGCTCGTTTTTGCAATACAAATATGGTTTGAATATCTGCGCTTTACCCCACATGAGAATCCCGTAGGACATTATACTATGGAAGTAACTAAAGTAAACTAGTCTAGCAGTACTAACATCGGTAAGCTCACGTATTCTGCGGACTGCGTATGCAGCGGAGCTTAATCTGCTGGCCAGGGACGATATATGTGGAAACCACTGAAGTTTACTATCTAAGGTCACTCCCAAGAAGACTGCTTTATTAACAAGGTCTAACTTTTCTCCGTTTATTTCTATGCTTGGACTAGTCGATTTTACGTTAGGTAATTCAAATTTAACACATTTTGTCTTCTTGGCATTAAGCAATAAATTGTTAGCATTAAACCAATAAACTACTTTAGAGAGGGTATCATTAATACGGTCATAGTTAATGTCATGTCTGTCTGTTTTAAAAATCAAGGATGTGTCATCAGCAAACAACACTATTTCGCAATGGTCCTTAACAAAGAATGGCAGATCATTAATATAAATCAGAAATAAGAAAGGTCCAAGTATTGAGCCCTGCGGAACACCCATTTTTACTGGAGAACCCAAAGAAGTCGCTCCATTTATGCCTACTTTCTGAATTCTACCGTTGAGATATGACGAGACAAGTTTCGACGCCTTGCCATTTACACCGTAATGTTCCAGCTTACTAATAAGAGTATTATGATCAACGCAATCAAATGCCTTTGAGAGGTCACAGAAAACACCAATAGCGTTCTGGGACCTTTCCCAAGCATCAAAGATGTGTTTTAAAAAACGCTACCCCCGCATCGCTAGTCGATCTACCACTAGTAAACCCGTATTGTTCACTATGAAAAATATGATTCCTACCGAAAAAGGACAGTAATTGAGTTAGCATAACCGTTTCGAATATTTTACTTAAAGCTGGTAAAATTGAAATGGGCCTATAGTTGCTAGGATCAACTTTCCTACCGCTTTTGAATAAGGGAATAACCTTGCTGTATTTCATTAAATCGGGAAAAACACCTTCGTCAACGCACCTATTGAAAGCTACAGCTAACTGTGGGGAAATGAGATTAATAACTGAGTCTATAACTTTAGTTGATATGCCCCAGAGATCTTCAGTTTTTTTAACATGTATTGACTTAAAAGCTTTTATGATGTCTTGTGGATTAACATGACGAAAATTAAATAAACTGCCACAAACGTTAACATTTTCCTTTAGGAGATCAATAGCAAGTGAAGGGGAGGAATTTAATGATTTTGTAGTGTTCACAGCAATTTCCGAAAAGAACGATTCAAAAGCTTGGGCTACTTTATCTTTAGATTTTATAAGTTTGCTGTCTAATTCTAAAACTATATCTCTATCGTGTAGTTTAACCCTGCCTGACTCTTTATTTATTATGCTCCAAGTAGTTTTAGATTTATTTATCGATTGTCTAATTTTGTCGCTGTGACACTTAACCTTAGCAGCTACACAAACTTTTTTAAATATTTTCGAATAAATTCTAACATATTCTATGAAATTGGAATTAGTATTATAAGTTTTCATAGCATATAGCTCATACAAACGAGACCTACTCTTATGAATACCTACTGTTGCCCAGTCGTTGAATTTAGTCTCTCTATGGAAAGTTAATGTTTTCGATTTAAATCTATTGTCAAATTCATTTTTAATTAAACCAAATATCGTGTTATATAAAGTATTTGGATCCTCCGGTATATGGGATAGGGAATTTAAACTGTTGCCGATATTATTTTGAAATCTAATTATTCGTTCTGTGGTAATCGGTCTGCAGAGAAATTGGTCTACCTTCTTGCTCATTTTACAATTAAAAGAAGCCAATTGGCCACTATGGTCGGATCTTAAGCAATTTATTATTGATTTAGACACTGCGTCTGTGTTACAAAAGATGTTATCAATACAAGTAGAAGAGGAGGCAGTAATGCGAGTTGGTTCTAAAAAAAGATTAATCAAGTTAAAACTTTGAAATAAATTAATGAGTCTTACAGAAGTAGAACAGTTTTCCAACAGGTTTACATTGAAATCTCCACATATTACTACGTTTTTTTTGGTTGGAAAAATCCGCTTTAAACTGTCTTCCATAATTAATTCAAACTCGTTAAAATTAGCAGAGGGGGGCCTGTATACACATAAGACGACAAACTGATCCAATTCCACACATGAAATCTCAATAGTTCGTTCAGTAGAAAGATTTGTGATATCCTTACGCTCTTTAAATTTTAAGTTACGCTTAATAATAATCATGGATCCGCCTCTACTTAAGCTCTTTCTTATGAACGAACTGACTATTACATAATTTTCTATATTGTTAATGGCTTCGTAATCTTGCAGCCAGTGTTCTGTAACACAAAACACGTCAACGGAAATATCGTGCAAAAAAAGACTTATTTCTAATATTTTGCCAGAAAAGCCTTGAATATTTTGA